GCCAGCGCAGATCCAAGAGATCCGCGTGGAACGTCGATAGTTTGTGTTTACGCAAGGCCCCCTGCCCCTCGGGGGGCCGCAAGGACGGAGCTTCAAGCTCGGAGGCCAGCTGGGGCAGGATTTGTATCCCTCCCTGCCCGGCGGAGGAGGAGGAGTGAGAGGAGGAGGAGGAGGAGGAGGAGGAGAAGGAAGAGGAGGAGGAGGAAGAGGAGGAGTAGGAGGAGGAGGAGGAGGAGGACCCCCTCCCCCTCCAACTTATTGTGGTGGTGGTGGAAAAGAGGCTCACCAACCCAGGCCCCAACCCTTCACCCTACGAGGAGGAGAGCGACTACAGGATTGATTTGCCCCAGAAGTGCATTCCGATGGCTGACCGAGCGCGTTCCATTGCTCGCAATGTGCCTATTCGCAAACGTCCGAAAAACAGATGTCTGCTTCGATGCAAATTATCGTGGATTCCCCGCGCCGGATCCAGGTCATTTGCGAGTAGAGACTTTGCGAGTAGGGGAACGCGCTTGTTTAATGGCAGTGGGTCCCCGCGACCCTCGCCCGACGACATGAAGGCATGAATACATGCATGTCTCGTCTTAGGGGGGCCTGGCCCAGGGTGGGGCTCGACGATCTGAAGGCATGACGACGTGAAGATCAGGTCGTCGGCCCGACGACATGAAGACATGACGCGAGGATCGGGTCGTCGCCCCGACGACATGAAGGCATTGAGACGCGGAGATCAGGCCGTCGGACCGTCGACATGAAGACATAGACGCGAAGATCAGGTCGTCGGGACGACGACATGAATGCATGAAGACACGCAGTCTTCAGATCTTCAGGCTTTCAGGCATGAAGGCATGAAGGCCGCCAAGTATTCACGTATTCAGGTCTTCAGGCCGATATCCCACGACCTCATGTTGGAGGGGATCCGGCTTCATGTCTTCATGTCTTCAGGTCGTCAGGCCCTCTCCTCCGCCGCCTCCTCCAGCTCCCCTCCTGGTCCTGCTCTCCTGCTTTCCTCTTCTTCTATCCGCCCCCTCATCACCTCCTAATCGTCCTCCTCTGTTTCCCTTTTCTCGTCCTCATCGTCGTCGTCATCTTCCTCCCCCTCCCCCGTCTCTCCCGTCACTCCCCCCCCTCTTTCTCCTCCCACTAGTTCTTCTCGTTGTGTTCCTGGCGCTGAACCCCGGTGGCCGTCAAACCAGACGGCGAGGGAACGGAGGAGGTGGAGGACGAGAAGCAGGAGGTGGCCTGTGTCTGAGGGTGAGGGAGGGAGGAGGACCAGGAGGAGGGGCACAAGGATTGAGGAGGAGGAGGGGCGAGGAGGAGAAGTGGAGGAGAACTAGGTGGAGTGGCGAGGAGATGAGGGAGGAGGTGGGACGAGGAGGGAATGGCGATTTGCTTTCGGATGCCCACTCGGTGCGGAGAGCTGCAAGGAGGCTCAGACTTCCCCGTCGCGTGCCCCCCTGGAGCCCTCGAGCCTTCGACTCTCGAGTCGTCGATCCGCATCGACATCTCGAGGTATCTATGCGGATGAAGGGATCAAGGATTGAGGATCGGGGATCCAAGGATCCAAGGATCCAAGGATCCAAGGATCCAAGGATCCAAGGATCGAGGATCGAGGATCGAAGATCGAAGGATCGAAGGATCGAGGATCGAGGATCGAGGATCGGAGCTTCTGAGGCTTCGTTGCCCCTCTGCCAGCCCGCCCCCAACCTTGGCAGTGCCCCTGACGCGTTTGGCCCGCGGCCCGTTTGTCTCGAGCGGTTTGGTCCGACGGCACCTGCTCAGCAAGAAACAGCCTTGAGCTGTGGACCTTGCGGCTTGGCAGCGCCCACAAGGGGGGTTGGCGCCAGCGGCTTGTGGGCTCCTCAGAGGGCGGTGGGCCTTCCAGGAATTCCAGGAAGGCAGGGGCGCTTCTCAGAAGACAGCCCGGCGTTCAATAAGCCTCCCTGTGAAAGCCTTTTGCCTTCTGAGACGCCACGCCCGCCTTCTTAGAAGGCCGCCCCCTCTCGCGCCATCCCCTAGAGTGGAGGCCCATGCCAGGACACACCCTGCTCGCCTCCAGGGTGCCCTGGGTTTCTTGGGTTTCGATGCTCTTGCTACGGAAAGCGTGCCGTTCCCACACCCAACATCCGTGGACGTCCCGGTGTCTCAGGGTTGTGTTTTTTGTGGAAGGTTCCTTGTGGACATGGCCTCCACTGGTAGGTGGGCGCGGCCAAGTGGCGGCGCAGCATGGCCGACGAAGCTGCTCGCACGGAAGCCCTCGCGGAGTCGACGAGGATCACCTTTGCGGACACGTCCTGGGGCAGTCCAGGCGCGCGGAGTGCCCGCAGGCCGCCTGCGACAGCGCCGCGACGGCCGCCAGGGATCCGCTCTACGCCGGTGCGCGCTGAGCGTGGCGCGGCGGGGACGGATCACCAGGCCGCCAGCAGCGGCCAAGGTCCTTGATGCAGATGGAGGCGAGTGAAGCCAGCAGTAATTGGCCTTCGGGGGTCGCCCTCCTCGCAGCGTCTGGGCACAGCTCGGACAATTGGTGCGTTTGCAAGGGCGCCCTCGAGGGCGCGAAGTTATTCGCGCGTCGCGCTTCGCGGTTCGGCTGCAGTTCCTCTTCATCCTCCTCTTCTCCCCTGGGAGGCGGCGCGAGAGCGCGAAGTTATTCGCACTTCGCGCTTCGCGCAGCGCGAAGCGCGAAGTTGGGAACCCTTGGTTTGGAGCCTTGGAGAGGCCCGGGCGACCCCCCGCACTGCTGCTTCCCGCTGCCCTCGGGGGCGGCCAGGAGGGGGGTGGGTGATGACCAGGGGGGGTGGATATCACGGCAGGGGCCATGATAGTTCCCCAGATTTCATGGCGCCTATTCTTACTTCAAGACCTCCCCCGCCCCCCCCCCGTGGGCCGCACGGGCCATGATTTGCCCCCCCCCCCCCCCGCGTCATCTTGGACGCCCTCCCAGATATCCGATGTCGTGATTTGTTCCATGCGAGGTCCCCGGAAGTCTCGACCCATTCCCCAGGACCAGTTGTTCATCCTGAGTCCTTTTTCAACGGTTCTGAGGTCCAGTAAGGGCCCCTAGAGGCCGAAAACTGAAAAACCTCCGTCGTGATTGTTTCAATGCGTTCGATCTCTGGGCCCGAGCTTCCGAGCCTCCCGCTCCCGTTGTCTCAACTCGCCGTTCTCCGGCGGATGCAGCAGCCGCGCTCCCGCGGGTAGCGTCGCAGCGCTCCCCAATTCGCCTCGGCGCTCAGTGCCCTCCCGTCGCCTTTTGTCCTCTCGTGCAACGCCTCCGTGCCAATCTTGGCAAGAGTTTGGATGGTCCAGCCCACTTTTAAGTCGGGCGTGTCTTCCTGCAGGAGGCATATCCAAAAAATAATCAAAAACATAAATCGGGGGAGAGTTGTTCCATCTTTTTGATAATGATTTGTTGTGCATATTTCTCATGTTTCCTCCAAAAGCCCCGCCTGTAGGGGGACATGCCCGACCTGACGTTGGGATGCTCCAACCTACTTTAACCTTGAGCACCAGAAGTACTCTCGAGCACCAAGAAATTACCGAAACTCGAGGGTTTCCACGTGTGGAGCACTTGGAGGCGATACTCATTCGACGGTGTGTCAATATTCTCTCGAGTGCTCAAACTTTCTTTTGGGATGTGGTCCTTAAGCACGACGAGAACATGAAGCAAGAGGCAATGTGCCAATTTTCTATCTCCGGCTCGAGCCTGGAACGTTGTAGTTTTACACCGAATTTGCACAGTGTATGATTTTCGGTGAGGCCCAAGCAGCGAGCGCTTGCCCTAAAAGTGCAAGTTCTTCTATTCACGCTGCGCGCATTTCTTCGCAATTCACGCGTCATGGGCCAAGCTTTGTGGTACATCCCTTCGCTCAGGAGGGGGTGTCCGCAGACCTATTGTGCGACCTTTCGTTCGGTGAGGCCCAAGCAGCGAGCGCTTGCCCTGGATGTGCAAGGTCTGTGTCGCACGCGACGTGATTCAATCGATTCGCGCTGCACGCATTTCTTTGCAATTCATGCGTTGTGGGCCAAGCTATGTGGTACATCCCTTCGCTCAGGAGGGTGTCCGCAGACCTATTGTGCGACCTTTTTTCCAGATCCATTGGCATGCAGAAGCCCAAGAGAGGGAACGCGAACTGAAAAATCAAACTCTCCGCCCCAAGAGGCCCCCACGAAGCCCCCAAGAGGCCCCAAGAAGCCCCCAAGAGGCCCCAAGAGGCCCCCAAGAGGCCCCCATGAAAGAAGCCCAAAAGAGGCTCCAAGAGAGCCCCGAGACGGCCCCAGAGCCGCCCAAGACGGCGCAAGAGGACCCCAAGAAGGCCCCAAGAGGGGCCCAAGAGAGGGAACGCGAACTGAAACATCAAGCTCTCCGCCCCAAGATGCCCGCAAGAGGCCCCAAGAGGCCCCCACGAAGCCACCAGGAGGCCCCAAGAGGCCCGGGGGCCGGGCCCCGACAGCGCATGGGATGACCGGGGCTTCCGAGACCGATGCCAGTTCACCCCGGAGTTGCCCTGGAGCCCCCAGACTGCTCCAGAGAGCTTTCAGACGCTCCCAGAAACCCCCCCCTGGGAACTTCGACAAGCCCCTCCAAGACAACCCAGATAGCCCCAACGTGGCCCAACATTGGCTTGAGACGGCGAACCCAGCCCAAGAGAGGCCTCCAAGAGGCTTCAAGAGAGCTCCAAGAGAGTCTCGGGAGAGCCCGAAGGTTTGTCAATGTTTTTCGGTTTCTCGCGTTCTCGAGCTTCCAACGCTCCAAGACGGCCGACGACGCCCCGAAGACCACCCCAATATTGCCGAAGAGGCCTCCCAAAAAGCCCCAAGACGGCCCCGGGGAGCGCGAAAATTGCCAAAGAGGAGCCCCAGACGGCCCAAGAGAGCCCCAGGACAGGCCCAAGCTGGGCCACAGAGCGGGAGCGGGAGGCCCCAAGGCGCTCCAAGACAGCCCAGATGGCCCCAGCGTGGCTCGAGATGGTCCCAACACGGCAAGTACGCAGCCCAAGAGGCCTCCAAGAAGCCCCAAGAAAGCTCCGAGAGGCGTCCCGAGAGAGCCCGAAGAGGCCCGAAGAGGCTCGCGTTCTCGAGCTTCCAACGCTTCAAGACGGCCGAAGACGCCCTGAAAACACACCGAAAATCGCCCCAAGACCGCTGAAGAGTCCCCAATGAACCCCAAGACGGCCCCGGAGAGCTTGAAGACTACCCAACTCAAGAGCAGCCCAAGACTGCCCAAGAGAATCCAAGGAGAGGCCCGAGATGGGCCCCAGAGCGGAAGCATGAGGCCCCAAGCCGCCCCAGGACGGCCCAGCTGACCCCAACGTGGCCCAAGATGAGCCCAAGACAGCAAACACACAGCCTAAGAGGCCCCAAGAGAGCTCCGAGAGACGTTTCGCGAGAGCCCGAAGAGGCCCAAATCTTTGATGTTCAATTGTATGTGTTCAATGTTTTTCGGTTTCTCGCGTTCTCGAGCTTCCAACGCTCCAAGACGGCCGACAACGCCCCCAAGACCGCCCCAAAACCGCCGAAGAGGCCCCCAAAGATGCCCCAAGGCGGCCCCAGAGAGCCCGAAAGTTGCCCAGGAGGAGCCCCTGACGGCCCAGAGGCCCCAGGACGGGCCCAAGCTGGCCCACAGAGCGGGAGCAGGAGGCCCCAGGGCGCTCGAAGATGGCCCAGCTGGCCTGGGTTTCCTCCGTCTTTCCCTCGTTCTCTCCCGTCCCCTACCCTTGTCTCCACTCCCTCCTCTGTTTCCTCTTCCCCCCTTCACCCCTCAGCTTTCGTGTTCCTCTCTCCTCTCCTGGGACGGTGCCGCCAGAGCGCTTTCAGACCCCGCCAGACCGAGCGGGGCATCGCTGTACCCCATCATTTCACAAGCTGCTCTGCCCTGGCAGAGCGAGAGGGGCGGCCCCTGCAGAGCGTGAGGGGTAGTACTATACCATCTACAGTCCCTGGTCCTTCTTGTCCTCACACCGCACCCATGGTAGCCCCGTCAGAGCGCACGAGATGTGGGTATACCATAATTTTCCCCCGGTTTCGTGCTCCCCCCTCCCCTCCTGGGCAAGCCCCGCCAGGGCGCCAAGGAAACCCCCGCCAGAGAGAGCAGGGCATCCACACACCATATTCTTTCACGCGGCTGTTGCTCCCCCCACCCTTGCAGGGCGGACCCGCCCGAACTATACAATTTCTCCGGTTTCGTGCCCTTCCCTCACCGCCTGAAAGGCTTCGCCAGAGCGCCAAGAAGGTTCCGCCAGAGGCCCCGTCAGAGCTCCGGGCAGCCCCATACATGGAACTTGCCAGGCAAATCATTGGGCATCCTCCGTGAGCTCGATCCTTCTGATCCCACGGGTGCGATTATCGCCGGTATGAGGTTTGGCATCCAGCACAAACAAGCTTCCCCACCCCCGTGGACGGACTCGACAACAACTGATTGCAGAAAAGGGCGTTGATGACTGGGACATGTGCGCGCGCCCTCAGCAAATACCCGACAGCTGAACGACCGGTGTAAACGAGAAGCTTGGAGCACAAGGGAGAGGAAACAATATCAACGCGCTCCCGCGCGCGCACAGCGCGGCCCCGAGCCAACACCAGCATCAGGAGCCGTCGGATGTCTGCGTGATCGGGCATGGGGAGACCGAACAGATGTGCGAAAAACATTGAGTGTCCCGGCGGTTCGGAGCGGACGTGAAATTGGAGGAAAGACGCTGTTCGATACACCAAACGAAGGCGGCAGCGAGATTGTGAGATACGCGGGGACGTGGCGCCCCGCGTTCTGATTAATTTCGCGTTTCTTTGCGTCGATGGCATGGGCCCGAAAACGTTGGAAATCGCCGTTGTGGCCGCAGCGGGGCTTACAGCGGCACCCGTGGCTCATCAGCGCCCCGGGCCCGGGCCACGGGGGAGCATAACGTACAGTTTAACGATATTCGCATGTTCGGCGTCGACCGCGTCGAAGATGGCCCCAGGAGCCCACAACATCGCCCCAAGACGGCCAAAGAGAGTTCCAAGAGGCCTCCAAAACAGCTCCAGAGGAACTTCAATTATCCAAGACGGTCCCAGAGGGCCCTGAAGGGCCTTTGGGCCCCCACCAGGACAGCTCCACACAACCCTGAAACGCCACCCGAGAGTCCCAGGAGGTTCCAAACGTCCAGGAGGGCACAGGATCTCCGAAATGTCGTTCAAAAACCCCGAACATGGTTCCAAGACGACTTCCTGGAACCCCCACGACGGCCCAAGAGTCCCCCAAGACGATTCCGGGAAGCAAATGGCCCCGTGTCCGTCGTAAAACGAACATGTTTGGGGTATTCACCGCTTCGGCGTCGACCGCGTCGAAGACGGCCCCAGGAACCGACAAGATCGCCCCAAGACGGCCGAAGAGAATTCCAAAAAGCCTCCAAGACGGCTTAAGAGGGGCCCTTGACTGTCCAGGAGGCCCCCAAGACGGTCCCAGAGGGCCCCGCGGGGCCTGTGGGGCTCCCCCGAGACAGCCCGAGACAGCCCCGAAACGCCACCCGA